GGAGATTGCAGTTGCCCTTACCCATAAAAATGCGACAGTGAGGAGGATAAAACCCTGTTAGGTTCCCCTCGTTGAGTTTCCTTGAAATCTTCCATTCAGAGAGGCAGATGCAAAGCCCCTCTGAACCCCCAAGATGCACATTCATCTCAGGGACCTGCCAGAGAGTTGTTTGGGCTGAGGCCTCTGTGATGACTCTAATGCACCTTCCACTCTTCTTCCCACTCCATCTGCTGGGCAGTGTGGTTTCCACAAGCTGCACTCCCAGGAAATTCTGCTGTGGCGTCCGCCTCTATAGCCCAATTTTGTATTCTCTTGGGCACACCAAGAGGACCTGTGGGTTTGAGGTGGAAGGGAGATGCAGCTCATACACAAGCACTTACACTGACTGCACTTAGCTCACTTCTTCCCTCCCTGCTCTCCACCCCCTAATCCTGTACTTTGGGGAGAACCCACTGAGGCATTCCTCCAGAGCAAGAGACAGTGCAGCAAAGATAGTTGACTCCTTCCCCCGTCCCCTATTGGTAGAGAACAGGAAAAATCCCTTTGTGAATTTGGAGAAACTATTGAAAATAACTGTTATGCCATGTCTTCAGCATTATGTCTCCAAAGAATTTGTCTGACTGGAGATCTGTACATCTGTATCGGTACAGTGTACAATTACTTAAAATACAAGGGAGTGAGAGGTAGAAAGTATCTTCCTAAAACCATGTATTTATTTAACTAGTGGGGATCACACACTTCCTAGCATGCATGAGCTGAGTTTATTGCATGCTGGAGCTCCTAACATCCCTCAGCTTTTCCTTGCAAACTCCATATGTGCCACCTTCCCCTGGCTGGGGCCTTCTGTGCCCCATAGTCTTCCCTCCTCCCATACCAGCATCCCCATTCTTCCCCTTGCCAGACACCCCACTTTCCCCATGGCAGGGGCTCTGCGTGTGCCCCTTTGTTCCCCACAGCAGGGTGTCCCAAATTTCTCCTCATCTGGGGTTCTGTGTGCTTTCCCACACCTCTACCCTATTCAGTGGTCTCACAATCCACCCCAGCCATCATGGCAGGAGTTCTGTTTGTGCACCCATTGCTCTCTTCTCCCATGTCTCCCATATTCCTTCCCAGATTTCAAGTCTCCACAGTCTCTCCCCCATTATGGCAGGGGCTCAGAATACGCTCCTATTCCTTTCTTCCCCCATTCTAGTCTTCCCAATTCTAACCTCCCCCATTGCAGCATCCCCCATAGCAGGAGTTGTACACCCCCTCCCACCAAACAAGGTTTTCCATACTTACCCGTAGGCCAGTCCCCCTTTCTCCATATTCCTTCCCATACACCATCATTCTTTCTGTCTGGGTGATAAGTCATTCAGAGTGGCACCTTATTAAACTCTGTTGGGAGGATGAGCAGAGAAAGTGTAGCTGGAAGATGCTACTGCGTACCATCAAGCCGTTGTTTGATTGCTAAGCCTTTGTAAAGGTACTTCAAGCTGTGGCTGTTCTAAAGAGCTGGCAGGGGGCTTCATGTGTCCTTCTCCATTTTAGTTTTCCAATTTCACCCCTAAATCAAGAAGATTCTGGTGATTAATGCCTAGGAAATTCCATAGCAATAGAGAGGTAGCCATGTTAGTTTGATTTTCCTAAAACAAAAGGAAAAACTATGTAGCACTTTAAAGACTAAGAAGATGGTTTAATAGGTGATGAGCTTTCGTGGGCCAAACCCACTTCCTCAGATCATATTCTGGAAGAGAATTGGCATGACCATATATACCAAAGGAACACAATGAAAAAAGTGTATTCCTTTGGTATATATGGTCATGCCAATTCTCTTCCAGAATATGATCTGAGGAAGTGGGTTTGGCCCACGAAAGCTCATCACCTATTAAACCATCTTCTTAGTCTTTAAAGTGCTACATAGTTTTTCCTTTTGTTTTAGGAAATTCCATGAAGTTTTGGAATTGATACAATGTGGCATTCAGAAGTGATCGTGTGACTGACGGACAAAGACATGCCTTAGAGCTGTGTGTAAAGCCCTTTTGCAAGTGTGGTCGGTTAGCCAAGTGCAGTTTTGCATACAGTATTTGTGTGGTCAAAAGTTCTTTTTGGTCATTTCAGCGTTAACAGCAAAGAGCGCGGGACACAATAGAACCCATGGCAGGAGAGTGGCTGGTCATATATACCACTAAATAAAACAGCCCATCAGGATGCAATAATGTCCTCCTTAGACATCAGTCACTGAGTCTGAAACACTCTGAATTGGCTCAAGATGACTCTGGGTATGTCAACACTACAATATAAGTTCTGTGTTAGTGGGACTCGAGTCAGCTGCCCCGTATTCGGGAACTTGGGACTTCAGCGTACACTCTGTTTTTAACCTGTGGTGAGACATTTCTAACCTGTGCTCAAATCTGGGGTGCTGGTGTCCAAACTGCAACACAGAGACCCAAGTCAAACCAACCATATCCCAGTAGGTGGTCTCTTTAACTCTATGAACATGATGCACTGCGGGAAAACTTCACTGCCAACCCTACACAGTGCAGGAAGTTTGAACAGCCCACCAATGCAGCCTGAGGAGCTGTCATTTTGGTTTGTGCACTTCTAGCTGCTGGAGACAGCAGCATGGGGAAGGCATCTTTTCTAAGGAACTTCTCTTGCTCGTCCTTGCACGTCTGTGTTAGGAAACTCGCAGGGCATCCACGAGGCCTTGGTGGATTTTCTCTTCCACCAAAAGGTCATGATGAATTTCCTGGTGGAGCAGTCAAAAGATGAGGAAAAGGACCCTTAGCATGGGAGACTCTCACTGGGGTATGCTGCTTAATACAGTTGGCATAGCTGCAGATGTCCTTACATAGACCAGTGTCAGTGGTGCAAGGACATCTGCACAGACTGATGGGATTACAGCATCCTGCAGACTTGGGAAGGCCATTGATAGGTCCAGCACTTTCACAGGAAGAGCTTTACGAACAGCCTAGCCCCACCGTCCAGTGTAAAGAGACACAAGAAAGGTCAGCCTTGTCAGTCCAGAAGTGAGTTGCAATAACCATCTGGAAGTTGCCTGCCTCAGACTGCTACAAGTCCCTTGCCAAGTAGTTTGAGTTGGAAAGTCAACTGTGGGTAAAGTGCTGCTGGTGGTATCTAAGGCAATCAGATGTCTGGTTTGCCCCCATGTAGCAGGCATTAAAGATATTCCAGGAGTAATTGCTGGCATGGGCCCAGAACTTGCCCTCCTCAAGAAGCACATGAGTACCTCAACTGGAAAGAGTACTACTCCCTTGTTATGCAGGCCCTCATGGACCATAGAGGCTGATTTATGAACTTCAGTGTGGGCTGTACTGGAAAAGTTCACAATCCCAGAGGTTTTCACCACTCTGGAGTCCACATTCATGGACAGTTGGGACACTATTCCCACCAAATAACATTTAAATAAACACTGTCCCCACTGTTATTCGGGGGACTCCAAGTAACCCATTTTCTTTGGTTTATGAAACTATTCATGGAGTTCAGAGTTCCTGGCAAAAGACAATTTAATCATACTCCCAGCAGATGTAGAATGCTTACTAAATGTGCCTTTGGCTTATTAAAATCATGCTGGAGATGTCTACAGACCCATTTGAGTGCCAGTGTCATCAGTGCTATCCACACTATAGTGGTTTGCTGTGCTCTTCACAATCATTGTGAAGCGAGAAGTGAGCCAATTGCCCCAAATTCTGCTCATTTTCCCAGGTGTAGCTTCATGGACTTTGTTGGCATTAAAGCTGAATATAGGCTGGTGTAACTGAAAGCTCAGTCGGGCCCTCACTGTCTTTATCAAGTTGAGAAATGAAATTTGGATTCCCCCTACCCTGAGAGTCGATCTTGACTAATGTGCTTGAGTTTCTCATTACTGATCTCCTCGAAGAAAGCAGCAGCCGTCTTGCTTTTACCGGGATTTCCTGAAGGAGGACGACAGCAATAGGTTGCACATTAATTTTAGAGCAGCCACTGCAAATGATCACTGCCGTTCATCTCTTTTGCAGCATGCAGACCAAACATTACACACCAGGGGCCAAATTGCACTGCAAGCTGAGGGAGCATGCTAGTTCATTTCCCACTGGCCGTGCGATATCTACCTGCAGATAGTTTTAAAAACTGTTGTCCATGTGACAAGCACTCACCCATGGATAGTCAGGAATTAAAGCCTCAAGCATAGTTACAAGCATTCAAGTAAGGTTTTAGTGTATTGTTGCTTTAAGTGTAAGTCCAGGGATGGGATGCTGCTTTCGTGTCAGAGCGAGTGCTGGAGGAGCAATGTAGCGGCAGTGTGTGAGGCTCTGATTTGATTCTGCACGCCACTGTAGAGGTTTGTCACAGTGCTGCCCTGCAATCTCAAACAAACAAACCTCAACAGCAAACTTCAATACTGTCACAGGCTGGCTTTCGAGAAGTATGTTAAAGGTGAGCAGGTTTTCTTTAATAAGCTGGCTGAAGAGTAAAAAAGGACAATATCATTCCTAAGGCAACTGATAAAGACAGGGAGCCTAGAACATCAAAGCTCCACTGTGTGTTGCCTGAGAAAGATCTGCACACACTAAGTACAGGATAGCATCTATCAGGCACTGCTTTAATAATTCCCTTGCCTGACTAGCAAGAGTCCCCTCCACATTGATTGTGGCTTGTCAGTAACATTATGGAGTCCGAGCCGCACTTCCGCAGTGAGCATCAGACAGAAGAGAATAGAACTTGATTTGATTTTATCCAGGGTAGCACCTTTCATACTTGACAAATCCCAGAGCACTTTACAGACTGAGACCTATCTACCCACAAAGACTTTGTGCTATTTTAATAAAGACCAACAATTAAACCTGATTATAGTAGAGGCTTTGCATTTGTCTTAGAGGGATAGAAATATTATAGTAGAGGCTTTGCATTTGTCTTAGAGCATTTGTATTGTATGTTAGAATCACTACTACTGCTAATATTAGTGAGACATCTGAATGCCCGTTATTCGGTTACAGTTATATATTTTCTTTGTCTGCAGAGTCTTTTGGCTAAGACCAAATGCAATGTGGCTACAATTAAGCATAATGTTTGTTCTTACCAGTTTAATACCTGATATGTTCTCTGTGTGAGAACTATCTATTAAATGGATTTTTGAAGCAGGCAGCTGAAATAGGCACTTGCTCCATTCACTTCATGCACAAACTGGTATTGCAGTGCTTCTAGGGAAGTAATCACTGTGGTGAGTTGTCTGGCCTTTGCTGAGGGATTATATTAGAGAGTGAGATCTGCTTGGGTCTGTAAGAGGTGACTGAGCTATTTGACCATAATGCTTGGCCAGGAGCATAGAGGAGGAAGGGGATGAGCAACATTGGTGAAAAGGGGAGATAAAAATTCTAGTCTTCTGTGCAGAAATAATGGCAACACTGTTTGAAAGAGAAAAGAAGTAAATAAACGTGCTATGTGAGATAAATGGTGCCACAAAGGTATTTGTTCCTCCATTATCAGATCCCTCTCTCTTTGTCCAAAGGGTAGAGCATTGAGTTTTAACTGGCTTGCTTTTCCAAGAGCTATATGGAATGTAAGCAAGGCAACTAAGTACACAAAATATCTCTTTCTCTGGATGACCATGAGGGAATTCTGGGGAGTGAATCAAGGAGTGGCAATGAAATAGTGGCGGAGGGCACTGTGTGTTTATTTCTACTTTGGAGCCCAGCTGTGTACCAACATTGGAACCAACTCCACAGAGCTGAGTCCTACCGCCCCTAACGTGGATGACATAAAGTGAGAGGCAGTCCCAACATTGAGGGCTTTGTCTTATAAAAGCACCTATTACTGCTCATCCTGAGCTGATTTTTCACACTTACTATCTGGTCACACTGGTGACACATGGCACTGAAGTCACAGGGTTGCTGTGTTAAGGACTATTTGCACTGATGAAGGTTTTGCAGGACTGGATACTTGGATTGTTTTGTTTTATTTACTCAATGTTTACTGAAAAGTACAATTGTTTAGGAACTAAACCGCCAACTTGGGAAATGTTATAATGGGACAGTAGTATTTATGTGCTCTCGGAGTACATGCATGGGGCAGGATTTCCAGGATCAGGCCCCTAATTCAAATCTCAGATGTACTACATAAATTGCAGTGCAGCTTCAAAACACCATTCCCATTTTACAGTCCAGAACCAGGATGTATCCATATAAAAAACAGACCATCTGTTATAAACTGCTCAGAATGGAGAGGTCAGACTGAACAGAAGACCCCACAGAGATGTTTTACTATTTTCTTTCATTTCCAGTGGGGGAAAAGCAGCTAATGTCAATACAGATATTTTTAAAGGGGGAGGTGATTGATTTTGTTTAAAATAAAAGGCACTCTTCCTCACAAAATTCAAAATATAAAACAAAATATATTTAAAATAAATACAGCTGCACACTGTTATATAAACTAAGATACAGCTCCACAGATTAGTTTATCTATGTCCCCTTCGCTGAGGTATTAGATAATGTTTCTCACATTTTTGTCCAGAGTGGGTTTGTAAAGATAGCATTGTAACTGAATGTAGAGAGAGAGGGATTTTTCAACACTGAGGATCCATCTAAGTCTGGGTTAAGTGCAAGGCATTGTCCTCCTGCCTTCTGCTGAAAGTTCAAAAATGGCCCACGCAGTTGCATTTCTTTGTGCCTGTTTCCAAACTTTTTTTTGTATTATTCCTGGAGTTATTTACTCATAACTACTTATCTCCTTCGGCTCTTGCTTGCTTTGTATGGTAGGTATGTTTGGGGGCAGTAGCAAAGCAGCTACTTAGTAGTTGGGCTGTTGGGACAAGTTTTTGATGAATTAATATTCTGTATAGAGCCAGATGTCTTCTGAAGATAAGTGCGTAGGGCTACATACTGCTGTTAGTGTAAATCCTGAATTACATCACTTCAGTAAGTGGTTGCTTCAGAATTACATCAAAATAACTGAAAATAGAATTTGAACCTTGATAAATTCTTTACATAAATGTTTCATAAATCCATTGCAGCTTTGCCATTCACAGAGAGGGCCAAATTCTCTCATGCCCCATTGTTTTCAAAGGAAACTGTGAACCCAGATTCCACAAAAATCCCAGGTGAGAGTCTGACTTCTCTTGTCTTGTCGTACACTAAAGATGGCAGCTGAGTAAAATTACAAATGGGACGTCTTTTGTGTGGGCTTCTCTTGCAGTGGCAGCTCCCTCGTTTTCTTCCCTGAGATCAGCTCCATGGCAAGTCCAGCCTGCCAGATCTCTGAAGCCCCAACTCCCAGGAAACTACTACTGAAGTCTTGCTCTAGTTGTATTGATCAAATATACCTCACTCATACATTACTAGCAATGCTTATTACGGTGGTGCTTAAGGATCAACCAAGATCAAAGTCCCACTGTGCAAAGTGTTCTAACAAACACACAGTAGATAGTCCCTGCCCCAAGGAGCTTACAGTCTAGACAGGATAGATACGGGGTAAGGGAAAGGGATAGGACATAAGGGTATGTCTACACTACCCCACTAGTTCAAACTAGCGGGGTAATGTAGGCATACCGCACTTGCAAATGAAGCCCGGGATTTGAATTTCCCGGGCTTCATTTGCATAAGTGGGGAGCCGACATTTTTAAAACCCCGCTGGTTCGAACCCTGTGCAGCGCGGCTACACGGGGCTCGAACTAGCTAGTTCGAACTAGGATTCCTATTCCGAACTACCGGTACACCTCGTGGAACATTATTGCGATATGATGAAATCTTGTTGTTATTGAACCGTTCAAAAAAGCAGCAACTAAATACCTTTATTCATCAAGACACTCAGGCTACGTCTACACTGGCATGATTTTCGGAAAAGCGCGTCTAGATTGGCAGGATGGTTTGAGGGGCCTCTTTTAGGTGCCTGCATCTTAACAATATTGAACATGCAGCTGTGTGCTTAAAAGAGATGGCTGTGCCCACAGAGCTGCCCAAAGGTAGTGTAGTGGGAGAGGGGATGTGGGGTCTCCTTCCCAGTCCCTGTGTGCTACTTGCCTTGTGCTGAGCATGCTCATATGGACTGAGCATGCGCAGTAGCATGGCTGAAGCCAGCTGACCTCACTTCCTCCCATCCCCACTATTAGCAGACATGGATGTGTCTGGGGCTGCCCATCTATTTCTGTGTTCTTCCTCACTCATTCGATATCTTTAGCCTTCCATGACCATTTTTATGCTCCTTAATCCCACCTGCTGAATGTGGCAGGAGATATGTTAAGTTATTGCCCAATTGCTAGATTAAAGTTAGTGGCAAAGGTGCCTTTTTTCCCCTCTTTTTTCAAATTTAGTCCCAGATAGCCAGAAATAAAAACTTGCCTGTGAGCAGGACAGCCCACAGGGTGGAATCCTCTACAGACCGCTGCACTGTACCAAGTATTACTACCAATGAAGCACAATCACTTCCAAGCCCAGCTGTGTGGCCAGTGGATGTGTTTTCTTATGCTCTCAGTGGCCATATCTCCATCTTTCTCTGTCCTGCACATGTTGGGGCAGATCTTCAGCTAGTGTAAACTGACATAGAGCCAGAAAAATCAGTGTAACTGCATCAAATTGCACAGACAGAAGATGTGGCCTCTTCTGCGTTTCATATACAAAAAATAAAATTACTCCTGCTATTGAATGTCCTTTATTTTAGATGTTTTATCCAAAGTAAAACATCTGAGAGAAAGTACTCTGTATGATGTCAGTGGAGAGTGGAACAAG